GCCATGCCACTATCCTCCGGCAGCCATCTTGTGATGATTCCCATCAATCTTCATTCGGTATCAGAATGTCCGTATTCTCTACCGATAAATCTTACCCAGGGACTTTAGCCCATGAATGCATATATCGGTGTAAGATTGACCAGCACTGCACTTACCGCAGGCGACCTCGTTCCCTCATGCGTCTTACAATCACGTTGATTAAGCATAGAGAAGGCTGCAGTTTGATCTGTTTGATTTTTACTCGTTCTCATCTGAAGAAACACACAATACATGAGAACACGTCAGTCAGCTATCCGTCGCGTACAACCTTGCGCCAGAACCACTGGGTACCTTTGAACAAGATGCGGTGTCATCACCTGTGAAGTACCTTCTCAAAAGGATAACATAGTTAACTGGCCTATGAATTACAAAAAATCCGGGATATAGTACTAAATAAAATTACACCTGAGGCGCTTGCTCCAACATGTCCCGACGTTGAGCCATGCCCTCCCTCTTCATGGCGAGCTCTAAGCGCTCTTGCTGAACCGCCTCGGCATACTTGCTACGAGCCCTGATCTGAGGACCCTTCCTGTAGATGACAAAGACCGGAATGCAGACGACTACGGAAAAGGCGAAGAGTACCCAAGTAGAGTTCTGGACGCCGAGCTTGTGATACATGGGGCCAGTGTAGAAAGAGCAAATACCGGCGAGCACATCGCGCGAGAAGCCGTTACCGCCAGTTGCCGATGCAGAATACTTTCCCCCATAGGCAGCTACCATGTAGTCGATGGTAGCGTAGTAGATCGCCATATTGGCGCATCCGATGAGGACGGCGAAGAGGAGCGGTGCGATCCAAGGCAGAGGTGGGCCAGTCACGACGAATGCTGAGCCAAAGAGGCCGATGGGTAGGAGCAGGACGATGTACTGGAGGAACCAGAGACGCGACTCTGGCTCCAGAACCTTGCCGCCTTGACGCTGCTGGTTATGACGCCTTATCACCGGGAAGTAGGCGAAACCGGCCGCCCAGTAGCCGATGAATAGCGCAAAGAGCGCGAGACCGAGTTGACTGGCGGTGAAGCCCCAGGCAGACTCCTTGAAGACGTAGCCGTATGATTCCAAGAAACTAAAGATCAAGGCATCACTGAAGCCACTGAGCAGAGACAGGAACCCAACAATGGGTTCGCAAATCAACATTTCTACAATTCAGATCAATACCTGTTGACCATTATAGTAGTGCAAGGAGGACTTACTGTACGGACGACCCATAATGGCGAGCACCTCACGGGTATCGATCTTCTGGTGTTCAGTCGGGCCCTCGACATTCTCGCCGACCTTGCGTCTCGTATTTGCCTCACTATTGAGCATGATAGTGGTCCGAGTCTCAGGGACGAAGAAGAAGTGGATACCCTGCACCACCGCGCCAAAGATGAGCTGGATCCAAAAGTTCCAGCGCCAAGGAAGAAACTGCTCGATGGGACCACCACAGATGCCACCGACGACTAATTCACCATTAGCTAAAACCCACATCCACAATTGAAACACACATACCAGAACCGAGACAGGACCACAAGCTCACCCAAAGTACAGGGAACTGCTGATCCTCAGGATCAAACATATCCGCAACCATGCCCAGCGTCACCGACCCTCCAGCCGAGCAGAGACCCCCAAGCAGACGTGCAAGAAGAACCTGCCACCAAGAATTACTCAGCGCTGCGAGAATCTGCCAGCAGTTGACCGTGAACAAGGACAATTGCATGATCGGCTTGCGTCCAAACTCCTCGGACCAAGGCGCCCAGAGCTCACATCCAAACCCATATAGGATGAGGAACCATGCCATTCCCGCCCTGGCATTGGTGATGTGGTTGGTTCCGAGGCCGTACTCTTGGTTCAGGGCACCAATGGCATTCGAGTACACCGCGGCGTTGTAGTCTGTTTATCACGTCAGTGATCTTGTTCTAAAAAAACCGAAGAAAGAACACTTGAAGCAAAATTCAAGAAATAAGTAGAACTCACTCATGCTAGTCTGGCATAAAGCTACAACAGTCAAAATCCACCATTTCTTCTTGGTGGAAAACATGTACGCTGTGTGCTCCACAGCGTTCGCCTCGTTGAGCACCAACGGGCCAGTCTCGTTCGTAGGCACAACCTCGAGCCCCTTCGATACCGCCTCCTTGCGTGCACCAGAGCCTTCGGTCTTGCCGCTGCCATGGCTAGAATCGCTGCCAAATAGGCGTCGCGCGATGTTGGAATCCATCTACAAAAATTATTAGTATGTCAAACTGCCACCAATACGTAGACTTAATAACAAAGGTAGCCATCGCCAATCTATTCACAGCATACATACCTTTTTTTAATTGTGTATATCTATACGATACTGTAGTATGAAGATGAATATGGGGAAAGTGTGGGGATACACCACGCTTTATAACATTTTCCCCAACATATTTTGCTTACGCACCCCAGACCCCAGAGATCTGTTATCTCCTTAGAACTAAGTCTGGTAGCCATCCATACCAGATCTCGGGTGCATCTCCAAAGCCGTTATGGATGGGTTTGCGCGCCCAGGAGCGGGCATTTCGCAACGGTCCGGGACCAGTACCGTGGTTCGTGGCAGATCCAGCGTTTGGAATCTAGGACGGTGCGTATTAGACTTAGTAGATATTATGCTAAATACTGTGATGATGGGGATTGGTAACATTAGTTCAGGGAGTTGGTTTCATGTTATTGGATATGGGTGCGTAGAGCGTCATGACTAAAGTCATGAAATGTGAAAGATATTGCAAGTATTCCCAAGCAGGTGTCAACAACCACTCTACCCACCAAACCTACCCTGACCATCAGATCGGCATAGCATCTTCTTCCAACAACTGGCATAACATGTTTATGCTCTTAAACCTCGCCTAACTCAACTCATCCTGGTTTCTAACACATTCCCAACTTCCCTCTCTTACCATGTTACCCGAGCAAATACGGTGCCCAATAATCAGCACACCCACCATCCCTAAGCGTTCCAAAAAAGAAGCCCCAAAGCATATGAGCAGGCTAAATATTACGCTAGAGTAGTAGTAGATATACTTCATTTCACATGATGTCGTAATTCCCTTCAATGAGCTGGCTCGGTACATGACTGTACCAATAATCTCCGACGAATCAACGCATCACGAATATTTCTTCCCCCTCCCTTTTCCCAATTACTTATCATTTCCCCAAGCTCATCAGCAATCCTCTTTACTCGAATACCTCCATTCGGCTTCCTACTTCTCCTTTGCTAAACCTCCAGGACTCCGATTAACCCGCACTAATACTTCAGCATCCCTCACCCACCCCCGCACTGCCAGGCCGCCACAATCTCCCCGGTACTGTTAGATATAAGCACTATCCCGCACAACCCAGGTCTGAAAACCGCTAGGTTATAAGCGATGTATATGCATGCACAAACAGAACCAATAATAATATTTACATCATCATAACCACCACCGCCGCTCCGTCTCCAGGTACCCTACCCAAGCGCAGCAACCGTTGCCATGGAACTATAATTCCGACAAAGCGCGCAGTGCAGATATGAATCTTGTGGTTCGGAGATTTGCGCGATGTGTGCGGCGGTGAGGGCGGGTGTGTGTACCGTATGTATTCGATCGGCGGTGACCAAGGGGTGTGTTTAGCATCGTTGCTGTAGGTACCGGTATGGGAGTTTGGTAGTGTTTTAATTTCTAGTCTTGTTATTTGCGCGGCATGATTTTGTTATACGTTGGATTAGTTAGTCGCTTTGCTATACGTCTGTTGGAAAAACTATTTGACTCTGAGGATCGTGTTGGGAGATGGGATAAATCCTGGGCAAACGAGGGCTGAGTTACAGACGCGGTTGCACTAGATTTTGCGTGACAGGAATTCGTTTCGGGTTGACTTGAGCGGGACAGGGTGTATTCGGTCTAGAACCAGACATCACGGCAGAAGAATAGGATATTTCAAATGGTTTCATTGGTATTGATCAAGATACCCTATGGCTCACACGTTCCTCGGTATCGTCCGTCACAATGAGAGACTCATGCTGTGACTAGGCTTCCCGAAACACAAGACAATGTTTCCAATTCGCAATCTCGCCCCAGATTCCAGTGACGTGAGACGAACTAGATCAAGGGGTATAGTTCCCAAGATCAGCCCTGCGCAGTCTGACAGGCCTCCCACCACTTCTTGTGAGCGGATCTGACTTTGAAGTAGTAGTTGTCAAGGTCTGACATGGACATTGCCATCAATTCGGCCATGGTAGCGACTTTTCCAATGTCGAGTTCACTCTCCATAAGGCGAATCAGCATAGCTTTCTCCTTTTGCTCATACGTAGGGCGGCGAACAGGAAGGGGCGGATCCCAGATGTTCCCATCGCCGAGCAAATCCTGCTGTGCGTATTCATGGTGTTGAGCTGGAATAGGCGAATCCCAAAGATTCCCGTCGCCGAGCAAGTCCTGCTGCAGCCCAAGAGTCTGAACAGTTGGATTTGATAGCGGTGACCGGGTCGTGATACTTACATTCTTTCCACAGCTGTTGCCTGACTCATCACCAGCCTGCCATGCGAGTATCTTGGTCTTCAGCCGATCTTCTTCTTCTCCCACTTTCTTGGCCGAAAACTGAGGCAGAGTGTCAGTCTTGAGCTTCCTCAGATGGGGTGGAACGGACACATTCTTCTTTTCCATGGGCTCAGCAGCACTCGCAATCCTGCTGCCCAGATTCAAGACGGCCGACGAGGTATCGCTGACATGCTTGGTGGTCATACCAGGATTGGAAGATGCTACTGTTTTGACATCGATCACGTTGCGCGGCATGCCCGATCCACGAGGAACAGGAGCCGGCCAAGAGCCGAGGCTACGCGTTTCTTTTCCTCGTAGAGCAAGCGACGACGGCTTACTGCCCTGCCTGATCTCTGCCCTATACAAAGCCCGAAGGCGAGGCTCGAGCAGATCCCTGCAGAAACGAGGATCTGGAAGAAGACCAGGGCGTGCGACGGAGTCAGGGTCAGGCTGCCTATACAAAAGAATCAATATATTGTACCTCAATCGGTGTCTTGTCAAGGACTCACCAGTTCTCGGCCCCGGGCGGAGGCTTTGGGAAGGTGGTGGAGCTGAAGTCATCAGGCTCTGAAGAGATAGTCAGCATAATCCTCGCATGATCAATTCAGGGTTATATCAGGTGCTTGGAGGACATACCTTCTTTCTTGCTGTAACCAGGCATGTTGATCCTGACTACTGTTCAGCCTGTAGCCACTGTCAGGTGAGGTGTGCTGATGATCGGATCAAAGGGACTGGGTGTGATGTGTTGTTGTCAAAAAACAGCGTTGTCATAGTGAAGGCGACTGCCTAATTCGAGGGTCCACCACTCTATAGTATGTGACGGCGAAAGACGAGATCGTCAAATGTCGAGAGAATTATGAAGAGGATTACGAAATGCAAGTGGAAGGAAAATGAATTGTGGTATTATCGTGATTAAAGAAATAGACATGAACGGTTGTAGCTAGATCTCAGAAGACTGGATAGAAAGCAGCATGTAAATCGCTTTCTCTACGAGCTCACATGAGTAAGAAACCTGCACCACCCATGGCCGCAATTCCCCACAGACCTGCGACAACTACTGCCATTGAACCGAATCCATTCAGCCCATTGACAGCAGCAGCACCAGTCTCTTGGAACCCTGCAGTGTTGGCCGGACCATCAGCTTCAGGTCCATCAGTTTGAGTTCCTTCAGCCTGAGGTCTATTCGTCTGAGGTCCGGTAGTCCGGGGTCTATCAGTCTGAGGTCCACCAGTCAAGCTTTCCAACAGGTTCGACATGCTTTCAAGTTTATCGTCTAGATCATCAAATGGCATGGCAGGTTCGGTACCCTCGAGTATTCCGTAGGTCACGGTAGGATCCTTGCAGACGGGAACTGTCTCAATCTTGCCGGCACAATTCTGTCTAGCGCTGCGCAAGGATTTAGTATTTGAAATGCTTGAAGGAATGGATGGATCTACCTGCAACACCAACCGTCGCCGCAGTCTTTGTAGTTGGCACCACAAAGTATTTCGGGGTCGACCTCGGGGTCATCGCGTCGCTCATGGGCATTGTAGTGATGGAATTGGCGGGCAGGCGTATATCCTGCAGGTACAGATGGCGTACCAACAGGATCGGCACTCGCTGATAAGGCAAAGGCAAGAGGCAGGAGAAAGTTTACGGAATGCATCTTGATGTGATGAAAACAAAGTTTTGGGGTATGAACAATGACTCGTATGCTTGAGGTAGAACACCGCGAGATGATCACATAGAAACAGGACCTGAAAACGAAAAGAGAGTACTCTTATAGACTCATATCAAGTCTGACTTCGACCCATGCGAGTTAGGCCTCCGGCCTAGCATTTCGCGACTACGCCCACGGTGCCTGAACGTGGCAGTATCCTTTTCTTACATTGCTCGCGAAGAATGACTTACCGAAGACTTGGCTCGCCATTCCGTTTCATAATTGTGGCGTCCCATCTTCGCCTCCACTGGCTCTCGCTAAGATTGCTCGAGTACAGATCGGCCGTAGACTCTACCGCAACGAGCTCACCGGCACACTAGCGTGAGCCTCGCAGTCTAATCGTGCAGAGCTCAGCCTTGCCAAATAATAATAATAATGGACAACAGCATGGGATAGCGAGACGGAAAGAGCGGCATGGCATGAAAAGAGTATCTCGTCGGAGGAGTTGCTGCAAGTCTGGAGGGCGATGTGAGCGGAGGGTAACCAATGATGCCACCAGCGCTTGGAGTCCGTGGCATGATGGGGGCCGGAGGTACCTACCTACGCCTCCCTCAGAGTAGGCGCCCATGGCTAAGACGGAACACCTACAGAGGTAGTATGCACATACATACCGTGTGTTACCTGTGAGCAAAGGGTATCCGGGTATGCAAGTAGATGAATATTTCCAAGGCGTCCAAGAAGCATGGATCAGCAGATGCAACTGGGCTGGGATTGACGGGTAGAGTGAGTCAGTTGACATGGGCCGGATCGACTCAATGGCCTATGTAGATGGCCACTCTGGCGTGGTGGCCTCGCCAATGCAGATTATGCAGTAAAAAGCAACATGGCTGAACCAGGAGGAGAGTTTATATGTATGAATGATCGGGAATATAGACAAGGGTTGTGGTGGAGAGAAACCGGCGAGGCCTGAGGTCTTGGACTAGCCACATGACGTCTACTGGGGTTGTCTGCACGTGACAACGCGTCCACTTCAGAGGGCTGGAGGCTCACAGGGCGCCTCTTTAAGCCACAACCATCCACGCTCACATCGTGTTGTTGTATCGCATCCATGTCCAGAAGCCTCCGAAATGTCTGAACCACGGCGGTCCACGAGAGCGCGCGCCCGCGAAGATGCTGCCCCGCCAGCCCCCGAGACGCCCAAAGAAGCGCCTAAAGAAACGGCCGTCAAGAGTACCAAATCGGCATTGAAGCGCAAGCGAACCAGCATCGCCGTCAAAGTCTCAATACCATCGACACCCGCCCCCGAAGGTACACCACTACCACTACCCCCCAAGCAAACACTACCTCTACGCCTGGTCGACGGCGCCCCATTGCCCACGCTCTCTGAGCCGCAACCACTCGACTTGCCCGGGAGCGAATGGCAGAGCATCCAGCAGAGCGGTGTGCTGGCGGCTTCTTTTGAGCGGTCGCGGGCAGTATGGATGAACGCTGTACCACCCTTGCTACGAGACGCTCCGCACGACATTGC